GGTTCTCCTCGTACCTACATTTAAGTGTTGCATAACAAAACCAGTCCTTGGCAAGCCGGTTTCAGAGGGTCAGGGTCCTTCCCAGAGCTGGGTCTGAGCTGCCCCACTGGAAAAACTTCCCAAAGTTCTGAGCAGAGGWTGTTCCATCCCTTCCATCCCATCTTAGCCTTTGCCCGGTCCAGGACAATTGATAGGAGGAGAGCAGTTCCACAGCACATCGATTCCCAAAGGACTGGGGCAGCCTTTTAGGGAAGAGCAGGAGCAGCAGCTGCCCTGGGCCATCCCCAAATGCCCTGTAAGACCACGGGAGTGAGGAATATTTGGGACAAACAGCTCCAAATGGAAAATTTTCAGATTTGGCTTCTGGGTTATACTGACAGCTGCTGGCTCTGCTCYCTTGTCCCCCCACAGAGTGACAAGGTGACCATCGTGGATCACCACTCGGCCACCGAGTCCTTCATCAAGCACATGGAGAACGAGTACCGGTGCCGGGGGGGCTGTCCGGCCGACTGGGTGTGGATTGTGCCACCCATGTCGGGCAGCATCACCCCGGTGTTCCATCAGGAGATGCTCAACTACCGCCTGACGCCCTCCTTCGAGTACCAGGTGCTGTCCCCAASCTCTGCTGCCACCAGGGTGGGTTTGGGAGCTCGGGAGGTGCAGGGAGGACAGGAACACCATCCAATTCCTTCACCAGCTGTCMCTTAATTCCATGGCAAATCCAATTGATGCTCCCCGCTAGCGAAGTGTGGGAATGGCTGTTTGTCCCTCCAAGGGAAAAACTTCTAAATCACACTGAGCTCCTCCCTTTGGAAGTGCCTAATTTCACCCTTTGATGGGCAGGTGAGGAAAAGGCCTGGAAAATGCCTGCATCCCATTCCGTTCCACCCTGCAGGTTTGCAGGGATGGTTCCTGGATCCCATTCCATCCTGTGGGTTTTGGAGGAATGACTCCTGTATCCCATTCCATCCTGCAGGTTTGATGGATGGCTCCCATATCTCATTCCATCCCGCAGGTTTGAGAGAATTTTGTATCCCATTCCATCCTGCAGGTTTGAGAGGATTTTGTATCCCATTCCATCCCACAGCTTTGTTGGATGGCTCCCATATCCCATTCCATCCCACAGGTTTGAGAGGATTTTGTATCCCATTCCATCCTGCAGGTTTGGGGGATGGCTCCCATATCCCATTCCATCCGGCAGGTTTGAGGGGATGGCTCCCATATCCCATTCCATTCCACAGGTTTGTTGGATGGCTCCCATATCCCATTCCATCCCACAGGTTTGAGAGGATTTTGTATCCCATTCCATCCTGCAGCTTTGGGGGATGGCTCCCATATCCCATTCCATCCCGCAGGTTTGAGACCCCAGCATTTAGGATCCAACAATGGGATGGGGGGTCCTGCCCAGCAGTCCCAGCAGGGCTCTAACGCTGCTTCTGGAATGTTCCACGCTCCAGACCGTGGGGAAGAAAAGACCCCGAGCAAACCCTGCCCCGCTCTCCAGCCGTCCCCGCTCCGGCGCTTTCCACACAATGTGACCTTTAGTCAAGAGCCCTTAAGGAATAATCACAGAGCAGGAGCAGTCTGTTCATTGCCATCAGCGGCCCACCAGGCACCCCGATGATTCCTGGCCCCGATTGCAGCCTGCAAGGGCACAGAATGAGCTTTTCCGTGCTCGCTCCTGGCTTCAGCTGCCTCCCCTTCCCAAAGGGCCTCTTAGGGATGAAAAACCTGTGGCCAGGGCGGGGGGAAGGATCTGTTTCCATCACCTCTCTCCTTCTGGCGTTGCTTTCYTTCTGCCTGTGGCCTATTAACGCTCCTCTCGAGAGGTGCCGGAGCGATTGGCCAGATGCTGTTACAAGCCGGCAGGGTTTATTAGATTGCAATTTTTCCAGGCATGTTCCACTGCCCAAAAAAAGACCCATGAGGCTGCAAGGATCAGGGACACAGAGAGGAGAGGGAGGGCTGTGGAGTGGCAGTGATTCCTCCTCTCCTGACTGGAGGAATTTTAACTCTCAGAGCTGTGGATGCTGCATTTTTCCAAGCTCCGAGCCCTCCCCATCAGCTGATTCTGCTTTTCTCTCTCCTAGCCCGACCCCTGGAACACCCAYGTCTGGAAAGGGGTCAATGGGACACCCACCAAGAAGAGGGCCATTGGCTTTAAGAAGCTGGCAAAGTGAGTACCAGCAGGCTCTGGAAAGCCCTGGAATGTCTGGGACTGGATTTGGGGCACCCTACAGGTGTAGGGGATGGATCATGGGCTGTGAGCCCAAACCTGGGGACACTGGAGGCTTCATCTGCCTTAAGGGACATTTGGGGACACAGGCAGCCCTTTGAGCACCCCCTTAACCCTCCAAAAGGGCTGTGAGCAGGGTGACACCGGATCTTGGATATGGTCTGTTCTCCCAAGCTGTTCATTCCCAGGTTTTCCCATTCTTTGAAGGGGACTTTGCCTGTTTGTCCTTTCCTCGGGGCAGGAAGATCCCTCCTCCCCATTCRGGGCTCTGCTGGCAGTAATGGGATGAAACTCCTGTSCATATTCCTCTTTTTCCCAGTGACATTTTYCCCTCCTTGAAGAGCCCCTGCCAACCCTCCGAACACCTGCTTTGGAGGGAAGGGGGGAGATGTGATGAGGAATCTCCCTGCAGGCAGCAGATGGATCAGGGCTGAGCTGAGATTTGCACTTCATGGTCGGTTGACCCCTGGCAARGGGCCACCCCAGCCCCTCTTCCCTGCCAAGGCTCCTCAGCAGCGAGATGCAGGAATTGAGTGTAATTTGGACMCTTTTGGCTGATCCTGGCCCAAATTCCTCCTCCGGGGGCTGTTGGCAGAGAGGAGCTGCCGGTTCCGTGGCAGCAGAGCCYGGGGCCAGGGCGGGAGAGGGCTGGGTGTGCCCTGGTGGCGGTGGCCAGGCTGCCAGGTGGCCCTGGCTCATCACAGCGTCTCCCCACGCTTCAGTTTCCCCGAATCCCTTCCATCAATTTGTTCCCACTCTTCAGCTGTCACCTCCTGCGAGCTGCATCCATAAACAGGATCGGCAGCCGAGGAACGCGCTCCTGCTGCCGCTGACACCGGGGCTGGGCCAGGGGAAGAGCGGGAGGATTCGTGGAGTTGGGAGAAATGATGCTTTTATTGCTCTGTGCCCCACTGAGGGATGGTTTGAGAAAAAATGTGAGCGTGGCAGGTGATTTTGAAAGAAAAAAAATCCCCTTTGTTCTCGATGTAGGGAAAGGAATTATTTCTGTAATTCGCCATTAATCCTGTCTGGGTCAGAGCTAATCAGCCGAACCAGAGGCAGCCCCAGAGCCCGGAGTGGGATTTGGTGCCTGCTCAGACTCAAAAATCTCGATGAATCAGAGCCTTCAGAACTGCAGTGCCTGCCCCTCCTGCCCTTTCCCTGGCACTGCAGATCCTGGGGACAGGGGACATTGCCACCAGGGACAGGGGACATTGCCACCGTGGGAAAGCAAAGGCAGAACTGCACTGAGGGGTGGTGACAGCAGCAAACAGGAATGTTCCTGAGGCTGGCTCAGCCGTGGAGAGGAGCTGCCCGGGGCAGGCAGGAGGAACCAGCCTGAGGGAGTTTCTGCCTCTTCTGTCCACTTTTCCCCCTCCCTGAATGATTCCCCAAACCCAGAGCATTGCTGGGCAGGAAGAACCGAGGGAAGCTGGAATTCTGCTGCCAGTGTGACCATTCCAGCTGCAGCCTCCACTGCTGGAGGGGATGCAGGGTCCTGCTGAACCTCGGCAGGGGCTGATCTGTCTGTCAGAGCAGATCAAGCAGCCCTTCCTCCTGCAGAGACCACAGAAACACTTTGTGCTCCTTCAGATTCCCAAAACCTGCCTTTTCTCACTTGAAACGCTGGTCTAAATCCAGACCTGATGGATTTATGACTTTCTAGCCTCATTTAAAGCCTTGGTGGTCCTTTTGGGAAAAATGAAGATGTCCTTCATGTAGGAAGAATGGTGTTGATGAATGTCCCTAAAACAACAAACCCACCACCCTCGCCCCCCATCCTGGTGCTCCCACTGATTCCACAGATAAGGAATCGGCATTCCCTCCCCAGCCAGGATCAGGGACAGGCTGGTCACGTCTCCGAGCTCCCCTGTCCTGCTGTCTGTGCTGAGCCAGCGGGGGACACAGGAGGAAAATCCCCCAGTGACAGCTCTGGGCACAGGGAGCAGCCAGGCAGGCACTGCCCTGCCCAGGATGGGATAAATGTGCCAGGCCTTGGAGAGCAGCTCCTCCCAGGGGCGGTCACGGTGTCACCAGACAGCCCGGGGTGGCTCCGGTGTCCCCAAGCTCTGATGTGGAGCAGGGCTGGCCAGGGCAGCTCCTGGATGGAGGAGCTGCTCTTCCTCCCGCAGCTCCACTCTGGGTGCTCCCAGCTTTTCCTTTGGCTTTCCCCACCCCAATTCTTCTCCTGCTCCTCTGCCTTTGCAAAAATTCTACCCCCAGTGCCTGTTTTAGTGTTTTCCTCCTTAAACTCTTTCAAGCATTCGACCTCTGTGTTCAGGCTTCCCCATCTCCTCCTCCTCCGAGCTCTTCCAAGGCTTCCCCATTCACCACAAAACAGCAAAAACTGATGCTGCAACTTTTTGACACGGTTGATTTAATAATAAACAGTAAAGTCTGGTTTAGAGACACAGACAAAGACCAAGCTCTGACTGGGATTTATCCRTGCCTCCCAGGGCTGTGAAGTTCTCAGCCAAGCTGATGGGCCAAGCCATGGCCAAGAGGGTCAAGGCCACCATCCTGTACGCCACGGAAACGGGCAAGTCGCAGGTGTACGCAAAAACCCTGTGCGAGATCTTCAARCACGCCTTCGATGCCAAGGTATCGCCCCAGCTCCTGGCTCCTGAYGCATGACGGGCATGGAATCACAGGTTTTGCCAGGAAATACATGGAAAATAGCTGCCCAGGGTCTTCGGGATGGGACCTTGYGGGGCTGGGTTGGAGCCTGCACAGGGATTTTTCTGGCTGATCTCCTGCAGTGTCTGTTTGGCCCCTCGGGTGGCAGCTCCAGGGTGCCCCATGTCCCTCGAGGCTCCTGTTCCCATCCCCCGCATGCTGGAGACACCCCAGAGGGATCCCCCCTCTCCCTGACCTCTGTCCCGTGCTCCCAGGTGATGTCCATGGACGAGTACGACGTGGTGCACCTGGAGCACGAAACCATGGTCCTGGTGGTCACCAGCACCTTYGGCAACGGGGACCCGCCGGAGAACGGTGAGGTAGGACAGCAGGGAGGGGTGGCTGCAGCGGGGGACAGCAGTGGGACAGGGGCAGGAATGTCCTCTCTTGGCCCCAAACTGATCCAGGTGCTGKCCCTGCCTCCTGCTCTGGAGCAGGATCTCCCTATTGCCTGCCCCTGATCTGTTGTTAACTCCACCCTGTACAGCCACTGCTGGGGTGACAGCCCTGACCTCACCCAGCCCTGGGAATAGAGCAGAGAGCAGAGCCACAGCCCAGGCTGTGCCCAYGGCTCTGTTTCCTTCAAAACCTGGCAAAACTGATGGCAATTTTTATTGCTTTTCCGCAGAAATTCGGCTGCGCGTTGATGGAGATGAAGAATCCCAATTCCCACCTGGAGGAGAGGAAGTAAGAGCACCCCAACCCCTTCCCCTCCCAAACCACTGCCTGTTTTCCTGACCTCATCCTGACATGAGGGAGTGGGAAATCTTTGGGTGGAAAGGTCCAGGGGAWGGGACCTGCATGGAGAGCCAGGGTTTGGAGAGGGTGAAGTTGCCAGCAAGGACAAAAGCACCGAGTCAGGAGTGCCTGCGCATTCCAGCCTGTAATTCTCTGGCATGGCATTTTAAAGCTTCTCTCTTCAGCTTGAAGAAGCAGGAATCTATAAAAAAAAAAAACAGAAAATAGGAGGAATTTCCCCAAAATTGTAGATTCTATGAGCCAGAGCCTGTCCAGGAGATGCGGAAATAGCACGAGTTGGAGGTAGAAGGGAGTTCCCAGCCTTGCAGATGTAGGTGGGGGAGGGCTCGAGAACCAGATTTAGCTCCATGCATGGCGTGAAAAGATTTCTAGGGAAAATAAGAGCCGTGATAATCCTGTGATGTTTGTAACCGGCACCTTGGAGACCAAATCTGGGATTGTAGAAAATCCCCCTTCGCGGGAAGACGAGCTTTGAGCATCTCCGCGCCGATCCCAAGGGCTGGGGAGGGAGTGCCGCGTTAAAAACCATTTGGAGCCTTCACGGCTCCTTTTAGCCGTGAAGAATAAAACATTTCCCTAAAGTGGGGCACTGCTCTACTCTGGGATGTCTCCTGAGCCGACAACCAGCACGAGGCTGCTCCGTAATTAGGGATGGATCAGCCCTGGCTGGGGATCCGGGGCCATCCCAGACCCCTGGCTCAGAGTGGTGACAAACAGGGTGGGGACCAATGTGTGGCTCTCTGGAGCTGGCTCTGCTGCAGCCCCAAAGTGCTCTTGGAYGGATCCCTGCAGGGCTGCCCAGCTGGAAACCCATTAAATTCCTAATGGCCTCRTCCTTAATGAGGACAGAGAAAAAAYGGGCTGCCTGGGAGGGGTCTGGATGGAGAAGGGACATCCCACACGTGGCTGTCACCCCAAGGATCTCTTCCTTGGGTGCAGAGGTGCTGCCCGTGGTGAACCAGGTAGATCTGAGGGGGTTAAAAACCCCTGAGCTYGGTGCTTGCTGTCCCAGACACCTCCAAGTGGGATTTAAGGTTGGAGTTTCTAAGAGCCAAGCAGGGACACCTCCCACCATCCCAGGGTGCTCCAAGCCCCAATRTCCAGCCTGGCCTTGGACACTGCCAGGGATCCAGGGGCAGCCACAGCTTCTCTGGGCACCCTGTTTTTGGGATTGCAGACATCAAACACARAAAAAACCCTTTTGCAATGAGGAAGGGAGACCTGGAGAGGTTGATTTGGGGCAGAGGGACAATGTCAGCCTGGTGACAGAGAGCTGGAGAGAGCAGTCTGTGTCCCTGCACCCCACAGAACCCCAGCTCCACCAGGAATGTTGAGGGTGGCCGAGACCCCTCTCCAAACCCCAGGGTCACAGGACACCATCAGGCCACTGTGGCCACAGTTCTCTGACCACAGCCCTGAGGCCGTGCTGTGGTTGATTTTCTGCTCCTCATGTCCCACGATGAGGGTTTTCCAAGGGATTTCCAAAGCATTCCTAAGCCATTCCTGTTTAATTCCTGTTCAAATGCAGCCCAACCTTCAGCAGCCACCCCAAAAAGCTGCTGCTGCTGCCCCAACCGGGGGAATTTGGGCTTTGTGTCCCTCTAATCCAGGGCTGTGCTGCCCTGCCCAGAATCGGGGCTTGTGGAAAATCCCCCACCAAGGCAAGGTGAGCTGCAAGCATCTCCGTGCAGATGCCACAGGCTGGGAAGGGAGGGGACAGCCCCCGGGATAACCTGGGGTGGGGACACGGCCCGGGGACAGTAGAGGGGATGGGAGCAGGGGGAGCGAAACAGGAAAGAGTGGGGATGGGGAGAGAGGGGGA